CCCGCTCGCTGCCGAGCTCCATTCTCTTGACTCCTCTCCGCCACTGCTGTCTCCTCTCGCATCCCTGGCGCCTTGGCCCGGCTCTGCCTCTCGTTCTGGCCCAGGGAGCCAGAAAGGGCAACTTCCCAGCTCAGACCCCGTCGAGCAGAGCCCGGACAGCTCGCCTCTCGGCCTTGTCCCCACGCTCGGAACCCCACGGATTCCGACCTTTCTGCCTGATTCTGTTCACCCGCGACCTGCCCAGATTCTGGGCGGAGAGAACTCACATCGTGCTTTGGCCGTGGCCCCACGAGTGTAAGGGATGAGTGGGTGTGCAGGGAGGTGTGGATGTGTTTTATGTCCTGGGGGCCGGTGCTTTCGACCCTGGCTCGTTTGCCTCGTTGAGTTTCCGGGCAGGGTTTTTCTTCCCCGGACTCCACGCTTCCTGGTGGTCTGGGAAAGTTTTGAAGTCCGTAACATTGTGATGACACGCTTGCGCGCGGATCCTTTATTGATCGTTCTCGGGTCTCTTCGGAGTCCTGGAAATGTAGGCCTAGAGTTGAGATTCATAGGGGGCCGTGGCTCAAACGGCAAGATAAAAATAAGATTTGACGCATACTATTCGCAGAAATTCAGAGAAAACCAGGAATGTGCCCTTTTGATGGAAGAACTTGGAAGAATTTTATTTTTGAAAGTTTGGGGAAAATCCGGATGAAGTTAAATTGCCTTCTGTGATTTGACTCTCAAAGGAGTTACCAAGTAACTTCTCGTAGGCCTTTAAAGGTTTAAAGGTTTGAGCTCTTTGAGGGTTGTTCAACTTCAAGAAGTCACTGCAGTGAAAACGGCAAGAATGTCTCCCACAAATTTAATATTAATGAAGTAGGGCAAGCCAATTACGTCTGTTGTCCAGAGTTAGTTGTGCAGCCTTTGCTGAGTGAATGGGTGGCTAGGAATACATGGTGAGCCTTTTATAATCATAAATTATGATTTAATCATAAATGATATGATCGTAAATTATAATCATAAATTATACCTGCTCGGATCTAGCTCTTAAGGTCATGCCTAAGACTCACCTTTATTCTGGGTTAAAATAACAGAAAAAAGGTGAGTAATCGAAATGCTAGGAGTCTGAAAATAGTTTAGACAGAACTTCATTCCTGAAACTTTAGTCTGTAGCCAGATTTTAATTTTGGTCTGTTTTGGATTTTTAGGTGCCAGATCTTTTACTGTGTCAACAGGAATATAAAATGAGTTTGTTTTACACCTAGGGTGATCACCTGCCATGCTGTTAAGTCAGTGCTATATAATTAAAAGTTGATGTGTGGGTGCAAAGCATATTGCATGTTCCTGCTTTTTGGAGGGCAGGAATGAGATTCTTTCTGGACCTTACAGAAATGGAGTCAGACTTCTCTCTAGTAGTATCCCATCTAGTGCCACACACGTGGTAGGAATTTTGTGAACATTTGTGGAAGGAAGGAATTTCTGTCTATAGGATTGGGTAATGTCAACTTAGATATGATGTGTACATAAATTCTGGCCGATTTCCAGGGAGAATTTGTGGGTTGGGGTCTGTGGGTTGGGGACACTAGCTCAGATGATTTATTAGTCGTAAGGTAATTGAGGTGAACTGTAAAACTTGAATTTAGTTCTGCCAGCAGGAAAAATCTGTTAACGACCTACGCTAACACTCTTCTGGACGCCATGGAGCTTCGAAAATATTAAAATAATGGATCTTTGCTCACCCTTCCCCCAGGATACAGACAGTATTGTATATTTGGGGGATCCTACTCTAAACTGGTGACGCATGGAATGGTGTAGAAAATGGTTTCTCATGTACTAGCTAAATAAACCAGCAAAATATGTGTGCAGAGTGTACTTAAATTTTTTGTCTTAAGAAGTTGAGGTGAAAGCTATTTTTGAGAACAGTTTTCAGCGGTCCCCAGAGAGCTCTGCCTAAAATTACCTCAGCTTCTACCAATAAATACATGGAGTGAGGAGTCTTGATTCCTTTCCTGAAGAGGTACCTGTACTACCTGCCTGGTTACATTATGTCAAACATATGACACAGCGGCCTTTGGAATATTAGAGGTCTCACAATAATGCTAAACCCAGCCCTGAAGAGTGAGCAGGTGGAATCCATGACCTAGGGGTCCTGGGAGAGGCACTGCTCCCCCGAGGGTGCCTGAGGGGTGCAGGATGGGGCTGGGGTAACGGGTTAGAAATGCAGAGGTGAGGGGAATCTTTTGCTTAAAAAATTCTGTCTTTACTTTTTGTTTAACTTCTTTTTTTTCTTTCTGATTCTGTGTGACATGTTCGTAGGTACTGGTTGGCTTGTATTTCTTTTAGGATTGATTTACTCTGAGTGAAAAAATAATTTGGAGTCTAGGTTCAAGCGCTTATTAACAGACTCCTCTGCTGTGTTCCCTGTTTTGATTGATCCTTCATCGCCCCCTTTTTTTAAGTATGAAGATCAGGGTGAAAGAAATAGAGAACTTTGGTTAATCAAATCAATTAAGAGATTATTCCGGCTACATGGGAGGCTGAGGCGGAAGGATTGCCTGAACCCAGCAGGTCGGTGCTGGGGCGGCTGTGAGCGTGCCACTGCACTCCAGCCTGGGTGAGACTCCAACTCAAAAAAAAGAGATTATTTAAAAACATGTCTACAGAACAGTAAATTTTTTTTTACTTTCCACTACTTTCTTTTGGCTAAATAAAAGTGTTCTATCTTTTTTGAGTTTCAAGTATAGTTCATTTATTTTCTTTGTTTAATAGTTATGTAGTCAAAGCCATTAAAAAACAAAAACAAAGGGAGAGCTCAACCTTATGGGTAGAGTGTGGAATAGCTAGTAATCATTGAAATAAGTTTCTAATCTTCCTTTACCAATGGCAACATCGCATGCTTTAAGACATGTCTTCCTTCTTGAATATTGATATCTGGGTCAGGATTGCTTTAGAGAAAAGCTGTCATGTGTCATGAAGTTATACTTAACTGGAATTGTTAGGCTAGACTAGACAAATAGTGTCATTTTAAAGAATCAGAGTGTTGTAGTTTGAGCTTTCCCCTTTTATTTCTCATGTAAGGTCATTTTGTTCATAGGTTTCTAGAACAGCTATAGATCTTTGCCCTGTTAAGTATATTGAAACAGATTTCAGGTGATCTTGTTTTTAGAACCGTAATAGGATATTGGCATCAAGTATTTGGACAGTTTTAAATTCTGTCATAATAGTATCCATTTTCTGTATTTGTTTCCTCTTAAGAAATAAAACTATAACCTCCTAATTATCCACACAGAAACTTCCTTTTAGAAATAAAAGTTTGCTTTTTTCCCTTCAAACAGTAATGGTGTCAAGAATATAGATTTTTAACAAAAGGTATGCTTTTGATTCCACTTGTTTATACTTTGCTTGTCTTATTTTTATTTTCTCTTTTTAGTATAATAGGAACATCAGTAGTAGTGTAAAAACTTTCACAATGAAATCTGAAGCCAAGGATGGAGAGGAGGAGAGTCTACAAACTGCTTTCAAGAAATTAAGAGTGGATGCATCTGGGTAATTAAATATTTGATATATTTTTGGAATTATTTGTTTACTAATTTTAAATAGTTCCTTTCCTCAAAAAAGCTATTCCTATTTTAATATTTTTCATTATTCTTAGAAGATATAAATGCTTAGTGTGACATTCTACCAAATTCTGCAACATATATATATATATATATATGTATACACACACACACACACACACACACACACACACACACATTTTTTTTTTTTTAGAAATCAGGATTTATTGAGAAGACAGAAAAGTTCCCAGAGTGGGAGGGGGCCTGATGGGGTTATCCCACAGTATTATTTCACTTTAAAAAACCTTTCTGTTAAATTTGAAAAGTAGCAGCTCGTTTGTACTGCAAGATTGGGCATTTTGGTTTTCCTTAAATTTGAGGAGGGCTCCCTTGCCTCTTTTTAATCAGAGATTATCAAGCAATGTCCCATCAGGGATTTTGTCATATATCTCAAGGTTATCATAGTATTTTTCGCTAAAAATGAATTGGCTCAATAGAAATCTGTGAAGACATTGTCAATTTCATGGTCTGTGATTGTTGAGTCTATCACTATGGAAACCTCTATTCAGTAGCGTTCTGTCACTGAAATCAATAATCTTGGACCCTTTGATCAAACTAATTAGAGCACCTGCAGACCAGCTGCTGTCTGAAATGTTACTGTTTCACATTTTGCAAAGGGTTCTGTGCAGACTCTTCTCGCCCCAGGCCAAAAGAAATCTCAAAATTGTAATGGATGTAATAATTTTTCTTTTCACAAATGTAAGCCAAACACTGGAAGTTCAGCGTAGAATGCTCCACAATAAGTAACAGTAATAATTGCCACTGTTATTATTCATTCTCTGTGCTGTGAACACGGGATTAAGTACTTAGTGTATATTATTTAATCCTTACTACCAGCTTAGATGATAGATACTCCTGCCATTTGTTTACAGATGAGACTCACAAATTAAGTCACTTGCTAAAAGTCAAATTGGTAAGAGGTTGCAGAGCCAGGATTTGAACTTAAACAGCCTGTCCCTAGAACCTATGCTCCTAACCATTCCTTTATTTGCTACCTTGAAGACAATATGAAAAAATGCACATAGTACCTAACACAAACTAAAAATGGAACAGGTGTAGTTATGTTATTATAGTTGTCTGCCTATTAATAGTACTGTTTTTGGCCTGCCAAATGAGATTTATGCTAATTGGCACAATAGATGTTACATGAGCTTACATTTGCTTCTGTGATATTTTAAAAAGTATCTTTCCTCCCCATGGTTTTCCAGTATGGTCATCTTACCATTTCTTGTTAGTACTTTGATAAACATTTTGGGTAACAGAAACAAAGCAGAGAAGCAGATAGTTTCATAATTCCAGAAGATGGTTGCAGTGTATTCCTTTGTGATTTCTTGTATAGAAATTTTTTTTTAATCAAGAAAGTACTAGTAATGTATACACACATATACATATGTGTAAACTTATATAAGTAACTTTTGATACACAGACTTCTTTCCTGCTGTTTTAAGAAATTGGAATGTAAAATTAAGCCATTTTGGTGTCCCTAGTACAACATATTTGTAGCTTGTGATGTCTTTAGAAAGATTCGAGGAAAAGAAGCAATAGAGAACATTTGAGAAAACCAAATAAGAGTAGGAGGGGTGAGTCATTAGTATGACTAAGCAGAATAAGACTTGTGTAGTATATCGTATATTTCTAGTTGTTTCATACTGCTGTCAGTTTACAAATGGGACATCTGAGGGACTGACTCATATACCAGCCAAGCTTTGCCAGGGTTTGGCATGATCCTGCTCAACAGGTTTTGATAGCTAATGGTATTTGTCTTTTCAGGACAGAACTCTGCATAAAACAGCATAATCCTTTTTATCTGACTATAAAATAATGCATCCTTATAGAAAAACTCAGAGAAACAAGAAAGGATAAAAAAGGAAGTGAATATCACAATTTACCATAACGTGTTAACATCTAGGCCAGCTATACATGATACCCTAAACTTTTTTTTCATAAATACGTACATATCTGGGTCAGAATTGCTTTAGAGAAAAACTATCATGTGTCAATTTGTAATAAATTCCCCATTTTATTGTATAGATGTGTCATAATGTATGTAATACTGTATTATTCTGTTGTTGAATATTTAGATTGTTCCCAGTTACTTTTTAATCTTAAATTATGTTTCAATGAGTATCTTTTTACTTTAGTAAGTTAATGTCTGTTTCTAAAGGACTTTTGTCAGTACTGTAGCCTGTATAGTAGGAGCTGTGTGTGTGTGTGTGTGTGTGTGTGTGTGTGTGTGTGTGTGTGTGTATGTATACTGAAAAGGTCTGGAAGGATTTACACCAAAATGTTAAATATTGGTAATCTCTGGGTTGTAAGATTATAGATGATTCTTTTTCTCTCTTTTAAGTTTTTTCATGTTCTCTATTGAGAACCTATTACATGTACGATTTTAAACCACAAAGATTGAGCTGAGTAATATTTCAAGTTTATTAGTTGCAAAAATAAAAATATTTTTCTAAAAGTTTTATAATATTTGAAAATGTATCAATTTTTAAGTTAGATTGAGTCTTCTCAAGTTTTGGCTTCTAAACTTAGTTCCCATAGCTTTGGTTTACCTACATAAAATAAGTAGTCAGTGTTATTAGCGTTCTCTCTAGACATGAGAGACCTGCCCCAGGGAAACAGTCTAAAAGTCTATTTATATTCTGCTGCTAGTTATACTTTAGAATCATTCTTTGGTTTATGATTTTGTAACCATGGCCCTTTGGGGTCCTCTAAATTTGGTTTTGGAGGGAATTTTGTGCTAAAAACTGAACAATTTTTGAGAAACGCAAACTAAAAAGAAAATAAAGATGTTGCTAAAAGTTGTATTGGGGTTAGTGAGAGCAGAACGTTGTCCTCATTTTACAGTTTTTTGTAGCAGTAAACTTTGTTCTTGTCTTCAGATCCATAGCATCTCTGTCTGTTGGAGAAGGTGCAAGTGTCAGAGCCTCAGTCAGAACAGCAGCAGATGATACCAAACCTAAAAGTACATGTGTATCTAAAGACAGCTGGCACGGGTAAGAGCTTCTTATTGATGGTTTTTATCCGAACACCACAGCTTCATACCCATTGTTTTGGATTTTCCTTCCTGAGTGTCCAGGAAAGAATAGATTATGATGTAGAATCCAAGACCCAGGGTTTAGAGAAGGACCCATTCTTCTCAGTTGTGAGTTTGCTGAGACTTTGTCCCGGTCCATGGTCAGTTTTGTGAGTATTCTGTGGGTCTTCTCTAGTTGTTTTCGGGTTCTATGTCCATTAAATTAGGCTTTTAAATGTGTTATTTGAACCTTTTAAATTTTTTTGACAGCTTGACCTGTGAATAATTGAGATGTACAAGGGGGAAATCCATAAAAAAACTGGAATTATCTTATGGAGGGCATGTCCCTTGTAGTACACTTGAAATTTGTTTCTCTAGATCAAACAGTCAATCAAAGTTTTTATCTGGAAGTTTTGAGAAGGTTGTGTCACAATTTGCAGAAGAAACATCTCGAGTTCTGGCAAACAGGTTCTTGTACCATGACAACACACTTGCCTACATTATGCTGAGTGTTCGGCAGTTTTTGACTAAAAACAGCATGACCTCCATATCCACCCTCCCTATTCACCTGATTTCATACCAAATGACTTTTGTTTCCCCAGATGATAAAAGTCTTCAAAGGGAAATGTTTTGCCAATATGGAAAATGCAAACCAAAAAATGGCAGAGGCACTAAAAGGCATCAAAATTGATGAGTTCAAAAACTGTTTTGAGTAGTGGAAAAAGCATTTTGGTAGGTGTAGTGCATCAAACGGAGGGTACTTTGAAGGTGACTGAAGTCTAAATATGTAAGGATAAATACAAAATTTTTTGTAAATAAATTCTGGGGTTTTTTGGGTCCAATCTCATATATTGAAATCTCCCCCGTGGGAATGAATTTGTCTGTTTTCCCCCTATGTTTTATATTTTTGCTCTATATATTTTGATATTATTTTGTTAGGTTTATACCTTCTAGGTTCATTCAAGTTTAGAGTGTTTTCTTCCTGGTGAGTTGAAACTTTTATTATGCAGTGTCATTCTTAATTCCTAGTAATGACTTTTGTCTTGAAGTCTACTTTGGAATTAACATAGCTAATCCAGTTTTCTTCTAGTTAGTGTTTTCCTAGTGTATCTTTTGTTTTTTCAACCATTCTGTGTTCTTAAACTTTAGGTATGTCTTGTATATGCACACATATACATACGAGTTACCTGCATATACGTATGGCTATAGCTACATATAGCTGTATGGCTATGTAGCATATGGCAAGGGTTTTAGTTTGTTCTTTTTTATTTATTTATTTATTTTATTTATTCTGATCATTAGATTTTGTAAAAAACTGTTGTGTTTAGTATATTTACTTTTTTTTTTATTTTATTTTTTGAGTTGGAGTTTCACTCCGTCGCCCAGACTGGAGTGCAGTGGCTGCTCCCGGCCACCGCAGCCTCGACCCACTGGGCTCCGGCGATCCTTCCACCTCAGCCTTCCGAGTAGCTGGAATTACAGGCACACGCTACCACACTCGGCTGATTTTTTTTTTTTTTTTTTTTATTGTAGAGATGAGGTCTCGCCAAGTTGCCCAGGCGGGTCTCGAACCCACGGGCTCAGGCAGTCCACTCACCTCAGCCTCCCAAAGGATTACAGGCTGAGCCACCAAACCCGGCTTACATTTATTTTGATTATTGATGTATTTGGACTTGCTTCTGCCATCTTACTTTATGTCATTTGTCCTGTTTTTTTCTTCCCACCTTTCCTCTCCTCCCCACCTTTTAATATATTGCTTGAAAGGATTCTGTTTGTTTTTTTCCTCTACCATTTTTCCCTCTAATGGTTTGGAAATTAGACACTTTGTTTCTGTTCCTTTAGTCGTTAGCCTTGATTCTACCATGTATCTTTTATTTTTATTCTTTTTTTTTTTTTTTGAGTTGGAGTCTCACTCTGTCGCCTAGACTGGAGGGCAGTGGCCACTCCCGGCCACTGCAGCCTCGACCTGCTGGGCTCTGGCGATCCTTCTGCCTCAGTCTTCCGAGTAGCCAGAATTACAGGCACGCACTACCATGCCTGGCTGATTTTTTGATCTATTGTAAAGATGAGGTCTCGCCAAGTTGCCCAGGCGGGTCTCGAACCCGCAGGCTCAGGCAATCCACTCACCTCAGTCTCTCAAACTGCGGGATTGCAGGCTGAGCCACCGAGCCCGGCTCCATGTATCCTTTAAACAAAGACATTTGAACCTTCTACCTCAGATCCCTTTCACTCTGACCTCTTGATTTTCATGGTGTAAGTTGCCCACCATTTTAGATGTTAATTCTTTTTAATCTCATAAACTAGATCTTGTTATTCATTTTTAAACTTATTTTATTTTTTGAGTTGAGGTCTCACTCTGTCATCCAGGTTAGAGTTCAGTGGCATAGTCCGGACTCACCACAGCCTCAAACTCCTGGGCTTAAGCTATCCTCCCACCTCAGTCTCCCGAGTAGCTGGGACTACAGGTGCATGTCACCACACCCAGCTAACTTTTTATTTTTTGTAGAGACAGTTTTCGTTATGTTGCCCAGATTGATCTTAAACTCCTGGGCTCAAGGGATTTTTCTACTTCAGTCTTCTAAAGTGTTGGAATTATAGTGTGAGCCACTGCACCCAACCTGTTATAATATAAACAGACAAGGTTCATTTAGATTTGTCGACTTGTTTACAATTTCTTTGCTCACCATTATTGCACCTCAGACCTTCACATACAATCATTTTACTTCTTCCTAAAGTAGTTTTTTTAAATGAAAGTTTGTTATTAGTAAATAGGGTCTTTGCATTGTATAACTCCACATAGAATACAGTTGAATAGTACCCCCTGGAGCTGTATAATATCATATCCTTTTGGCAAATGTACAGTTGTCCCTTAGTATCCCTGGGGAATTGGTTCCAGAATCCCTCCCTAACTCCTGCTCTTATTGTGGATACCTAAATCTGAAGATGCTCAAGTCTATTACACAAAATGGTATAGTATTTGTGTATAACCTACACATATTCAAGTATTGCTTTTTTGGAACTTTGTGGAATTTTTTTCCCCAAATATTTTAGATCTGCGGTTGATTGAATTTATGGAACTCATGGATATGGAGAGTGGACCACACTTTGCTTTGGTGAATTTGAAAATGTCTTTGTTTCATCCTTGTTTTTGAAAGATAGATTTGATATGCCTGAAATTTTTCTAGGTTGATTGTTATTTTCTCTTGTCACTAGAAGATACAGCTGATTGTTTTCTGGCTTCATTGTGTTCATATTGAAAAGCCTATTTTTAAGCCTGGGTAACATAGGGAGATAGCATCTCTACAAAAAAAAAAAAAAATTAGCCAGGCATGGGAGCTTGTACACCTATAATCCCAGCTTCTTGGGAGGCAGAGTCAGGAGGATCACTTGAGCGCAGGAGCTTGAGACTGTAGTAAGCCATGATCATGCCACCTTACTCTAGCTTGGGTGACAGAGCAAGATCCTATCTCATGAAAAAAGAAAAAAAAAGCCTGCTTTTAATCTAATTGTTCTTTTGGAAATGATATCTAATCTGTCTAGTCTCTGGCTGTTTTTAAGATTTTCCTGTTGTTTTTGTTATTCTACAATTTTGCTCCAGTGGGTCTAAGTGTGGATTTTTAAAAAAATATCTTGCTCCAGTGTGCTTCCTATATCTATAGATTGTCTTTTTTCAAGTCAGAGAATTTCTGTCATTATCTCTTCAAAATCACTTGTCTTAACATTCTCTGTATTCATTTCTTCAGAGAATCCATACTTTTTCTTCCATCTCTTTCAGATTTTTTTCAAATCCTTGTCTCTATACTGCCTTTTAAGTCAAGGGTTGGCAAACTTTTTTGTAAAGTACTGTGTAGTAAATATTTTAGGCTTTGTAGGCCAAGAAGCAAAATCCAAGGATATCATGTGGATGCTTATGTAAGAGGGAAAACTTACACTGCTCTGTTTGCCTTGGGTGGGCCATCCTGGCTGGTGGACACACTTTTTGCTCAGTTGTTGAGACAGTTTCAGGATGAAATGACTAGCCTGAGGGGACCCTGGTGGAATGGGTAGGTAGGGAACAGTGCCAGAGGCAGCTTTACTTTCAGTCCTACTGACACCCAGATCCCAGCATGCTCTTCTCTCCTCTAGAGATCCCTGCACTGATTAGAGTTGCAAACTGAGATTCTGCCTGTCAATTCTCAGCAGTTGCCAACAGCAGAGACCCAACAGGTAGCTGGTAGCTGGTATAGGCTCTGGACAGTGGTGCAATGTGTCCACTGACCAAGAAGGCAGGCGGGGAGTAAAGGGCAGAAGAGGATGCCCCAGCTGGTCTGTGTGGCTCATAGTGGCAGCCCACTGGAGCAGTGTCCATGGCTGTACAAAAACAGGTAGGGGACCAGATTTGATCTACAGGCTACAGTTTGCTGATCCCTGTTATAAATAATTCAGATTTATCTTCCAGTTCAATAATTCTTTACCTCTGTGTGCGATAGTCCTCCCTTATCCTCAGGGATACATTCTAAGACTTCCCCTCCCCCCAGTGGATGCCTGAAACTTCAGCTACTACCAAACCCACCTGCTGTCAGTCGGAACACATTTCTGTTCATGTCTTCCTCCCACGAATTGTACTCATCACACATTGTGGCTGTAGTTGTTGCAATGTGAGATTTGGCAGAAAAACTACCACAAACTTATTTTTCCTTCTTCACAATTTCATGGATAGAAAACTCATCCTTCTCATTCTTGTTGTAGATCTTAATATAATATCCTCAGCAGATAATTTTTTTCTTTCCTTATTAAGTTAAGGACTTTTATTTTTTTCACTTAGAGGACGCTTTGCTCATTTTCTGTTGGTGTAACCGAATACCTGAAACTGGGTAATTTTTACAGAATAGACATTTCTTTTTTTCCCCATTTTTATTTTAGATTCGGGGGTACACATGCATGCTTGTTACATGGACATATTATGTAGTGGTGGGGACTGGGTCTTAGGTGACCCATTCCACAGATAGTGAATATTGTACCCAATAGGTAATTTGAACCATAGCCCCCTCCCTACCTTTCCTCTTACTGGTGTCCCAGTGTCTGTTATTTCCATCTTTGTGACCATTTAGCTCCTGCATAGCAGTGAAACTATGTGGTGTTTGGTTTTCTGTTTCTGAGTCAGTTCACTTAGAATGATGATCTCCAGCTCCATTCATGTTGCTGCAAAGGATGTGATTTCATTTATTTATTTATTTATTTATTTTTGACTGCATAGTATTCCTTGGTGTATATATACCACATTTTCTTTATCTAGTCAGTTGTTGGTCGGCACTTAGGTTGAGTCCATGAGTTTGCTATTGTGAATAGCAAAATCATGGAACTGCAATAAACATATGAGTAGAGAAAAGAAGTTTATTTCTTACAGTTCTGGAGGCTGGGAAGTCCAAGAGCAAGGTGCTCACCGTCACAGTGTTGGGACACAACAGGAAGACCCATCTGTGGAGGCTCTTCTTGCTGCATTGTGACATGGTGAAGGGCATCACATGGCTCACCAGAGATGGCCAAGCTGGCTTTTATAACAGACCCAGTCTTGGGATGACTAACCCACTCCTTTGGTAACCCTTTCATCCACTAATCCACTGATCCATTCATGAAGGGAGCCCTCATGACCCAGTCACCACCCATAGGCCTCGCCTCTCAACACTGCTGCATTGGCAGCCAAGTTTCCAACACATGAACTTTTGAGGAACACATTTAAACCATAGCAGAAGAACTTTACGGCTTCTCATTGGCGTGTCTGACTTGCTAGCATCACTGCTCTTGCACTTTCAGTAAAGAAAGGATTCCTTGAACACAAGCACTGATACTATAATAGTCCATCTGATAACCAAGAAGCTAGTAAGTGACTAATGGGCAGATAGTGGATACACCAGACAAAGGATGACTTATGTCCTAGATAGGATGGAGTGAGACAGTATGCAATTTCATCACGCTATTTAGAATGGTATTTTAAAACTTATGAATGGTTTATTTCTGGAATTTCCATTTAATATTTCCAGATGGTGGTTGACCATAGGTAATTGAAATCATGGATAAGAGTGGAGTACTGTTTTCTGCTATTTAGCCAATCCATTTAATTTAATTCCAAATATTAGTCTTGTTTGGTCCTTTACTCTGATTTGCTTAGCAGTTTTGTTTGAGTCTTTTTTATTTGTTCAGTTATTTTAGTAAATACACATCTTATAATGTGTCTGATAATTTCCAGTTTCTGAAAACCTCAGGGATCCTAAATATGCTTGTTTTTTGTTGTTGGCTGTTACAGATGATAGAAATGAATGACAAATCTACTACTGTCTTTAGTAGTGATGTCCTAATGGCCATTTGTTGCATTAGCCTCACAGAGGTTCTGAAGCTTCTATATTCAGGCTTAAGGTGTAACATTCAGGCTTGACAGCAGCAGTTGTTCGTGCTCTGTGCTTTCTCAGACCCACTGGTCAGAGGTTCTCAAGCCTGGGGTTGGAACAGGGCCAGGTGTTCTGCACCAAATGTTTGGCCCATGTGATTCAATTAAAAATGACTCTTACCTGTTTCTGTAGCCTGCCCCTAAGAAAAAGACTTCAGCAGCTTGAAAATGGAGGCAGACACATCTCTTGGGGGGAAACTTATGACTCTAGACTCATAAATCTGAGAGGAGGTAAATTTCCAGTTATAAAGGCACTGCTTAGGAGGACTCCGTATCCCAACATCTTCTTGTATGTTTGTGTCCTCTTAGGTCTACAAGGAAATCTTCACGAGGAGCAGTGAGAACCCAGCGTCGTCGACGGTCTAAGTCTCCTGTCCTTCATCCTCCAAAGTTTATACATTGCAGTACAATAGCACCTTCTTCCAGCAGCCAACTCAAGCACAAAGGCCAGACTGACTCCCCTGATGGCAGCAGTGGGCTGGGAATTTCAACCCCTAAAGAGTTCAGTGCAGGAGAAAGCTCCACTTCTCTCGATGCTAATCACACAGGGGCAATCGTTGAGCCTTTGAGAACTTTGGTTCCAAGGCTCTCATCAGAGAGTAAGAAGGAAGATGACTCTGATGCCACCCAAGTCTCCCAAGCAAGTCTCAAAGCCAGTGATCTCTCTGACTTTCAGTCTGTTTCCAAGCTAAACCAGGGCAAGCCATGTGCGTGCATAGGCAAGGAATGCCAGTGTAAGAGATGGCATGATATGGAGGTATATTCCTTTTCAGGCCTGCAGAACGTCCCTCCCCTGGCACCAGAACAAAGATCCACGCTTGAGGACTACTCTCAGTCCCTGCATACCAGAACTCTGTCTGGCTCTCCCCGATCCTGTTCCGAGCAAGCTCGAGTCTATGTGGATGATGTGACCATTGAGGACCTATCAGGCTACATGGAGTATTACTTGTATATTCCCAAGAAAATGTCCCACATGGCAGAAATGATGTACACCTGATAGCAAGAAGCTAACTCATATGCTTTAAACCAATGAAGGGTTGTCAAAGAGATTTAGTTAACGGCAGACCTTGTGGCCACTTTGTGTGAGAAGACATCTCTTTCTGCTCACTGTGCTTGCAATAAAAACTTTTCTTGGCATCTCAATCTTCATTCTTTAAACTTACTCTGAGTTCTCACATCCCCATCAAGATGAGCAGATCAAAGAAAAATTCCTCTCATTTAGAATGTTCTTGGGAGAGGAAGAAACCATAATTACCTGAGACTGACAGCAGCATCTATGGTAAAAGCCTTTGTAACACAGTGCATTTTTCAGATCTGTTTAAGATTTGGTAGCCAAGGGAAATAAATGTGGTTTTGTAACTGGACTGAACATTTGTCATACTGTAGTTGCCAGCCCAGAATATTAGAAGTCATAAGACTGATTTAAACCATCTCTGATTTAACACAAGATTTATTGTGACTATAAAGGTTTCTTATGTTATTGTTGAGCCAGAGATCTACGGTTTACATTCAATTTGAATAAACTAGCTGGCCTGCCCTGTATTGTTTGAGAGAGTTATTACCCATCTAAATAAACCATTGCTGGTGTTCTTCATCCCAAGAGATGTTACATGAAGTGTCTCAAGCAGCTTGGTGTGGGCTGCTTTCCGTTAGTGGGGGGCGGGTGTCATACTTGAAACCAGTGTGCATCTTTGTCATCGCTGGCATTTTTTATATGTGGCATGTTTTTTGCCATCAGTTGTAATACAGGCTTCATATGTCAGTTTCAGACGTGTTAGATTGTCATTATCTCTTTGAACTGCCTCTCAGCAACCCCAGGAGAGAATTTTGTAAATGATATATCCTGCATTTCTGGTCAACCATCCCAAAATTCCCTCTGAAAGTTTGGTTAAAACAAAAAAACAAAAAAAAACTGTCCTCAGTTTCAGCTGGAGGATGAATCCCTGTTTCTAGTGGCTCCAAAATGAATGTAGCATATGCCACATAGCTGTTGCTTGAATTCCAACCATCCTAAACATACCCACCCAAATGTAGTGAAAATGTGTAGCCATGTTAACATCATATTAACGGTGTGTTTTATTGAGATGACAAAATACGTTTGTACTTTTTGCTAAAATATCACATTGGCTGTCCGGCTAATTTATGACGATAGAGTAGGGGCTTCACAAATAGGTGGTGGGTGCTTGGAAGGGTGGAGAGGAGATTTGCTAGAAAAGCCCAAAACTTGCTTGAGCAGTGGGCTTCTGCTAGGTACTAGTTTAGTATGGTCTCAGTGACGCATCTGAAGGCTGTGAGCAAGAGCAGGGGAGCAAGTGCCTTGTCATCTCACCTTTAGAGGCTGCAACAGAGCTGCTGTTTCATGGTGGCAGAAGGTGGACTGGCATATGTCCAAGGCAGCAATTTCTCAAACACTTTAGTCTCCTTTGCACTTAACGTTCAGGACCCCAAAGAGGTTCTGTTTATGTGGGCTTTATCTCTATTTACCATATTAGAAATTAAAGCAATTTTAAAAGAATTGCTTCATTAAAACGAATGAGACCATAATAAGCTAACATAAATAACATTTTAAAATGAACGATAACTTTTCTAAGCCAAAAAATAGTAATGAGAAGAGTGGCACTGCTCTACCTTTCTGCAAATCTCTCCAGTGTCTTCATGGAAGACGGATTTTCATACTTGCACCTGTGTGCAGTTTCGGGACATCACATACCGAGTGGTCTCCAGCAAGCTTGTACTCTTGTCAGAGAATGAGCAGAAAAAGGCAAATACAGGCTGAGTCTCCCTTACACGAAATGCTTGGGACCAGAGGTGTTTCAGATACCAGGTTTTTTTTTTTCAGGTTCTGGGATATTTGCATTATGTACCGGTTCAGCAGCCCTACTCGTAAAGTCTAAAATGCTCCAATGAGCCTGTCCTTTGAAACTCGAAAAGTTTCACATTTTGGAGCATTTCAGATTGGGGTTTTGGATTAGAGATAAACTGTAATGTCTTAGTACCATGAAAAGAGTTTCAACTTATCAGATCATCTGAAAGGGATTTCCAGAAGTCACTTTGAGAAGTACTAATCCGAGCTATTTAAGCTTCTGGTTGTAAAGGTAACCACCCCGCCCTTACCACTGGTGTTTTGCCTCACCTTTTAAACTGGAGAGTAGTGAGGCTATTGTAATTAAGTAGTGAGCTGCTTAATTCAAGCGTATGTTACATGGCCTTAACATGTTAATTGAGTTAAGACGAGTTTCTGGGTGGGTGTGATGGCTCACACAATTTGGGAGGCCAAGGTAGGAGAATCGCTTGAGCCCAGGAGTTCAAGACCCATGTAGACAACAAGACTTCATCTCTACCGGAAAAAAAAATTTTTCTAAACCTTTCAGCCCCTTTTGGGGGCTTTGCTTTTGGAGCCAGTGGTCTGGTTATTGACCTAATGCTGTATATTAACACAGCAGTCAGCAGAGAATGACGACTGATACATATTCTCTTTTTAATTGTGGAGACGAGGTCTCACGAGTTGCCCGAGCTGGTCTCGAACCCTTGGACTCGGGCAATCCACTTGTCTCGGCCTCCCAAAGTGCTGGAATTACAGGCCGAGCCACCAAGCCTGGCCCTGATACATATTCTTTTCATACAAAGGCGTTGGGGGTGGGGTGGGGTGTAAGAATTGAAAAAGGACAGAGTTCCAATGACCTAGAAACGAAGAAATCCATCGTGGGTGAAAGTTTAGGGAGTGAGTTGTAAGTGATCAACATTTCATCCAAATCTTCCTCAAAACATGAATCTTGAAGTTAAAAATTACTCTGCTCACACCAATTGGTCCAACTTTAATATCGTGTCTTTCGTTTTGTTTTCATTTCTTCCACAAAAGAAAGTGGATGTGACTTACTGAACTACACCTTCTCTGGTGCATCCTGGAAAATGGATCGTGGATTGAGGGATTAAGGTTCACTGTAAAAGTAACATCCTGATTCCGACATGTCTTCCCTCAACAGTTTTTCACTAAGCATTCATTCATCAATAAATATTTATCAAGTGCCCACAACACACGGTATTAAGTCCTAAGAATACCGCAGTAAGCAGAATAATGTCCTTGTTCTCATGGTGAAAGGTGATGAACGTCTAAGTAACATGGAGAGGAAAAGGCTTGGGAGCTAGGAAGGGCTGGGAGGGGATGGGGGTTGCTTTTTTTTTTTTTTTGAGTTGGAGTCTCACTCTGTCACCCAGACTGGAATGCAGTGGCTGCTCCCGGCCACCGCAGCCTCGACCTGCTGGGCTCCGGCGATCCTTCCGCCTCAGCCTTCCGAGTAGCCGGAATTACAGGCATGCGCTACCACACCCGGCTGATTTTTTTTAAATTTATTGTAGAGATGAGGTCTTACCAAGTTGCCCAGGCGGGTCTCGAACCCGCGGGCTCAGGCAATCCACTCACTTCGGCCTCCCAAAGTGCTGGGATTACAGGCTGAGTCACCGAACCCGGCCGGGGTTGCTTTTTTATTGGGTGGTCAGAGAAGCATCTGTGATAAGGTGACATTTGAGCAGAAGGAAGTGAGGAGTGAGCCATGGGGGGTATTTGAGGGAGGGGCATTCTCTACAGAAGGAGCCACAAGGATGGGCCAGGCCAGTTGGTGCAAGGCCTGGTAGGCCATTTTAAAGGCTTTGGCTCCTAGTCTGCATGCGATATGGAGCCATTTGGGTGGAAGAAGGGGCGTGTGGGGAGGTGGAGCAGAGAGAGACATCAGGCTAGGGAGGCAGGGAGGGCCGTTAGGAGGCTATCCCAATAAATCAGGCAATGAGTTTGCCAACTTGGGCCCTTGGCAGTGCAGGAGATACATGTTCTCTGGAATTATTTTGAAGGGAGAGTTGAAAGGATTTGCAAATGGACTGGATGTGACGGAAAGATAGGAATTGAGGATTAATAAGTCAGCTGGAGGAGATTTGGAAGGGGAAACTGGGAGCTTAGTTTGTTCCTGTCAAGTCTGAGATGCTTCTGAAATATACAGAAGGAGGTGGTTGGATATGACCGAGGATCAGGAGAAAGGGACAGGCTGGAGATGCAAACTTAGGAGCCATCTGTGGTATATGAATGTTGCTTAAAGTCATGTGTCTGGAGATCACCTAGAGAGTGAATGTAGATAGAAGGAGTCAGAGAACAAAGCTCCGAGACATTAATGGGGTACAGAGGTCAGGGAAATGGGGAGGAACCAGTGAGGCGGGAGTAGAACCAAGAGAAGATTCCAGAAGTCAAGTGCAAGAGGATAACCCTTGCTTCCAACAACTCAGTTTGGGGGAGGAGCCAGCACGTGGGAAGGGCACCTCACCCAGCCAGGAAACTTGTCTGGAAAGGCTTCTGGGGATGGGAGGCCTCCTCAGGTGCACTTTCCATGGCTGAGAAGGACTCGAGCACATCTTTGTGTGTGGCCCTCCTCTCTGGGATTTTCGGTTGTCTCCCTTCGATGCTCTCTGAGAAGCAACCAAGTTTGAGACATTGAGAAGGAAATGGAGGAAGTGACCGAAGAACAGAACCAGGGAGTGGGAAAAGACCTGGGAGGAGAGAAAGGGATAGCTGTCTTGGATAGCAGTTCAACATTCGTTTCAACTGAAGTGCATTTCACTTGGTTTGAAGAACGAGGTTTTCCTAAGGAATATCTTGTGTAATGTACAGACGGCCACAAGAGGTCTCCCCTTTCCTGAAATGCCCTGGTTTAAAGGTGGGACAAAAAAGTGATAGCTTCTCAGAAAGCTCAACACGGACAGACGGGACAGGTGAGGCCAATACCAAATTTGGCAAAGAATTTTGCTTGAACTTTACAAGGTCATGGTGTCCCCTTATCATCTTAGAAAGTGAGGAGTCTCAGGGTAATCGTGGATGAACGTGTAATGGAAAGAGTAAGGGGGCTTTGATGTCAGGGGACTTAATATTTAGGGGGACTCTCTCTTACCTCCTTGGAGACTGTTTTACTAAGCATGATGATATCAAAAGCAATGTATCATATGAGAATGATATTAATAGCTCACATTTATTAGCAGTTCGATGTGATGTAAGTCTTTTTACAGTTTTGACTCATGTAATCCTCACCCAGCCATATTAGGTAGATATTCTTATCCTTAGTTCCAAGAATCCTTTAAGGCAGATGCTTTTACAGAGGAAGAATTTGCATCTCAGAGAAATTAACAATTGGGCCAAGGCCACACATCTCATGAGGGGCAGGACTGGATTTGAACACACAGCTCACTCCAAAACTAACTCAGCCTGCTCAGCCTACAGGAAAGAAATGGATTCATGAATTTATATGTATTATTAAGAAAGATTTTTACGCTTTTACTTTTATTTTTTTCTTCTTTATTTTAATAGCTTTAGGGGGTACAGATGGTTTTTGGTTACATGGTTGCATTGTATAGTGGCGAAGAAGTCTGGGCTTTAAGTGTACCCACCACGCCCACCTGAGCGCTGTACGTGATAGGTGATTTTTCATCCTTCCTTCCCTTCACCTTCTCCCTTCTGAGTCTCCAAGGTCCATGACAGTGTTCAAGAAACAGCTTCTTAAT